AAGATAAAGATACACGACACAAGAAACTTTTTACTCATCATTTCTCGTCATTTCTTGTCTCTGACATCACACAACCCATGTCGTGCCGCGAGAGAACAGAGTCTTAAGTATAAATATTACTAGTATCAGATACAGGCTCTATTAAATATAATGGACAATCATAAAAGTTTCTTAGCAATCACAATTTAATGTTCAATTTTGTCAACTCTTTCACAGAATAGACAGGGAAAAATAAAAGATGATTAATAAAATTACCTGTTTGTAGATTTTGTTTTATTAATAGCTTCAGCATGATGCTTGTACCATTCTTCTAACTCTTTCTTTGCAGCTTCTCTCCATTCTTCTTTCTTTTTTTCTTCTTCTGCATCTATACAATTTGAATATTACGTTACTTATATTATTCTTATATATAAATATATTTTAACAATTTGTTTAACAATATATTTTGATCATAATTTAATACCTTTTTCTTCAAGACGTGTTTTCTGTTCTTCCCTCCACTTTTTTATCTTTTCTGGTTCTTCTTTAATCGGAGGAACTGGTTCTAAATATATATACATACATATACATATATATATATATATATATATAGAAGTTCATAATATAATATTCATGTCTTTATAATATTAACTTTTCAAGAATAAAATAATAAGACTAAATATTAAAATAATTTCATACCTGATGCTGTTGGTGGAATTTGTGCCTCTGTAGATTGACTAATAGTATCTATGATTTCAAAACTACCTTCAGCATCCCCTCCTGGGCCAACTTTTAGATTTCCAAATTTTCCAGATAGGTCATCTATGAGGCATTGTTTAAATCAGTGCTATTCAGGATTTGTAACTTTCGGTTTGCGATTAATATGTATCAGTATATATATATAGACCAATTATCTTTTTTATTCCTCACTTCCTAATTATCTTTTATAGTATGTGACAATGAAGTTTGAGATTAGTCTGAGATTATTAGATATTTCTGACAGTGAATATTGACAAAAGCATAGTACAAAAATTAAAATG